TAAAAGGGTGATTTCTATAGCTTTTGTTAAAGCATGAACCTTATTTTTATATGCACAAAATTTGAAAGTGTAATTTATATAGTTTTTGTTAAAGCATGAACAGGGCTGCCACTGACGAAAAAAAATACTTACCATCCACTTGAAGAAAATCTACCAATTGTGGAAAATATCTACCAACAATTTTGTTTAGTTATTTTAATGAAAACTATAGTTTTGTTGTTTTTTCAGTTAATTCCATAAGAATTCAAATTGTGTTTAAGGAACTCTTTATTTAAGAGATCATATTAATGGCATCTTCTCAGTTTCCTTCAACCAAAAGCGAAAGTGATTCAACTAAAGGCAACAACGAAACTTCATCATTTCAAAAAATTTAAACTGGAGTTATTATAGATAAATACAGTGACAAAATTGTTTACGCTTTAGCCAAACATTTAAAAATCAAAGATTCAAGCTAAATACAACATTTAGAAAAATCAAAAAAATTTCGTCTAAATTTCGAAATTTTTAGTCTGCGCTTTTTGAACAATTTAAGGTATGGAGTTTTATAGCCCATAATACTTGAGACTAATCAACAATGTGCAGCTAAAAATTCACGTCGGCAGTTTTTAATTTTTTTGCCGCCAGTATTTTGTGTTTTTTTTTCATTTTTTGATTTAATTTTTTTTTCGAAGACTGGAAGTGGGTAATTACATACTTGTCCGTTCTTTTTTTATTTAAATAATCATTTAAAATATTTATGCAATCAAAAGCTTCTCGGAATTCCGGTAAAAAGAGTTTTGAATGTTCGCCTTTTATCGATTTACATTTATTCGTATGTATAAAGTACACTGCACTTTTGGAAAGAAATTTCTAATAAAAAGATAACTACGAAAAATAAAACGGGAACGAAAAGTTTTATTTGTTTTTCAAACTAAATAATTCAACAAAAATCTACCAAAATGAGAAAAAATTTACCTTTTTACCAACCCAAATTTTTTTTACCAATTTTGGTAACAATTTACCAAAGTGGCAACCCTGAGCATGAACCATATTTTTTGACTCAAATTCACTCGGAAGTGTGCATTTATAAAAGCTGAGCGAAAAGCTCTCCCTGTATTGGCTATATTTAACATCTCATTCGAACTCAAAGACTCCAAAGGATTCTCTGAATAAAGAAACTTTTTATTGATTTCATAAATTTGATTTTTTTGCTAAAATTACATATGTTGCGTTCCTTAGCGATGTTGTGTAGTACTGCAACAGCAACAATAATATTTTTTGCGGTATCCAAATCCACACGAAGTCTTTCGAATACGGAACCGAATTTCGACTTCAGTTGCCCATTGAGGTTTTCTATTTTGCCTCGAGTTGAAATATGAGCCCTGTTGTATATAGTGTTAGTTTACATACATTTATTAAAATATCTTTGTATATATGTATATATGCATGTACGTATGTATATCAGTATATAAGTACATAACTCTCTTCTTTTGCTGAAGATGGATTTCGAACGGGTGTTAACAAAATTGGTGACAAAGGATAACCTCCATCCCCAAATAACACTCCATTATGAACATGTCTTCTTTGTTCTAATTTAGCTTTTAATTGGCAGTCATCCAAATCCGAGCATCGTGTTTTGAACCACGTGATCTCGCAACGATATCCAGGCAATCTGCCTACATTATAAAATTTCGATTTGACTTCCATCAATTCTTGATCACTTGGATAAGAAATGAAGTGAGGCAACAAAAGCGCAATCTTCTTGCAAATTTTGTATCTTAAAATCGCGTCCATCTCAATTTAAAGTTAAAACTCTGTTTTTGCGGTAAAATGCATTTTATGTCGACTATGACAGAGTTAAATGGTGTTTTCGATAAAACACAATTTTAATAGTTAAAACTCTATGACTACGGCCCTGTGAATTTGGCAGACATACGCTATTACATATGTATTGAAAAAGTGAAAAGAACACCTTTAAACTCGTAAAGTTTTAAACCATGTAAAACGCCCCCTTTGCGAAAAGGTGTAAATAGGTGCGTAAAGTGACTGCTTGACAGATAACCCAGGATTTTGTGAAGCAATTTTTGTTTCGTAGTAATTTCCATAACATCCCGCCATCTTGTCTCTATCTCTCTTGGCTAAAATACAATCGAAAATGCCGAAAATTAGCAGAAAACCGAAGTCAATACAGTTAGTGGATGAAATTTATTCATTTCATTCGCGTATTATTTTTTTCAATTGTTTTAATTATTTTATCACATATTTTAGTATACAAATTTTGGCCCCTCGGCAACACTGAAGTTTACGAGGTCGTTTGCGCATGAAATTTGCCTCGTAAATTTACGAGGGGCTCGTAAATAGTGCTCCATTCAAATGTTGACAGTTCCTTTACGAGGCTCGTAAATTTACGAGCTTTACGAGGTTTACGAGGCTTTTACGAGTTTAAGGGAAGTAGGGGTCTATTTCAATTTCAGTATTTCAACGATATGTTTTAGACCAATTGGAGAATCACATTGGAGTTCAAGTTGAGAAAATGCTAGTTCTAGAAACCGTCCTTTTGTCATACAAAAAAACCCTTTTTGTTGAGAAAGCTATGATCCTCCACTTGAGGTAATGTTGAGAAACATCGTTGGAGATTTGAGAAATACCTTAGCTCTCAACTTAACCTCAAGTTGAGCTTAAACTTAAAATTTGTTATCTACGTTTAAATTGACGAGTTAAACATTATAAATGGGCTTGAACCAGTTAAATGAACAAAACGTGTTCATAAAAAAGTTAAATAGCATGCAATTGTTGTTGGAAAATTTAACCAGTGAAATCATTTAACTCGTTTGAATTCCAGTTCAACGAAGAATCTTATCAGAAAGCTTTCTACTTCAGCCAATCAGTAAGAGCCAAAAGCTTTCATTTGACACGCCAACACTCAAAAAATGTATATTCTTCAAAATATTTAAAATTAAAAAATGTTCGCAAAAAAGAGGCCAATGCGATAATTAGTTATTTCCTATCATGCAATAGTTGCGTTCCAGCAGCAGTACGATTTGTAGGAATTTCCAGGATTTTACAGGAAGCTTTCCCTGTACTACGCCTTACATAAGGTTCATTAATGGAGAAAACAGCTTTCCCTGTAAATCCTGCAAAATCCTACAAATCGTATTGCTGCTGGAACACAATTATTTTGAAGTCTCTAAGGCCCAGTTTCAGATGGCCTACTTAAGTAGAGATTGTTGATTAACTTCCACTATTATTTTCAGATCATACATTTAGGGCCAATTTCAAATGAATATTTAACGGCACTTAAGTTTAATTTTGGATTGTTGTTAAAATGCCATTTACCTTTCGTTGGGTTTCAGATCAGCTTGGTTTAAATATGCCAAATAATTGGTAGGTTGTTTAATCAATGCCACAAAATCCAACCAAAAAACAATCAACTGTTCAGCACAAAATGAACAAAGAAACAAGCAAACGCAACAACAATTTCAAGGAACAAAGAGCAGTGCTTCCAATTGTTGGGCATATTTAAACAAAGTTGATCTGAAACCAACGAAGCTAAATGCCATTTAAAAAACAATCCGCAAACAAACGCCGTTTAAATATTCATTTGAAATCATCCCTTATGCAGCGTTTTTGCTGCATTTAAAATGCCACATTTAGCACTTTCGATCATATGTTTTCGAAGAGCGCTCATGCTATCGCATTTAGCAATGACAAACAGCCGTGTTCCAGTCGCTTAGGGCCAATTTCAAATGAATATTTAAACGGCGCTTAGTTTAGTTGTGGATTGTTGTTTAAATGCCATTTGGCTTTCGTTGGGTTTCAGAACAAATTTGTTTAAATATGCTAAACAATATGCAGCACTGCTGCTTCTTCCTCGAAATTGTTGTTGCATTTGCTTCTTTGTTTACATTTTGTGCTGAACAGCTGATTGTTTTTTGGTGGGATTTGTTGGGATTGATTAAACAACCTACCAATCAATCCTGGTAGTTTGGTATAAACACAAGGTTGCATATTTCCTATTTAAATAGCCAATATTGGCCATTTAAGTGCAGATTAAATGTATGACCTGAAATGAATTGTTGAAACTAATCACCAAATTCTACTTAAATAGACCGTCTGAAATTGGTCCTTATTTAGATCCGTATCTATTACGATAAATTCTCACGGCGAAGATAATGTGCAAAACCCCTACTGAAAAGGAAAAGAGAAATTTTAAAATTAAAATTCCATTAATTATTTCCTCAATTAATTAGGAAAGAAAACAAACAGAGCTGGTCACAAATGAATCCAGTTTCTATCAGCATCACATCGATGTTGAGTTTGCGTAACTTTTCTTTATCCAAATCAAGGCACATTAAGCATGTAGTAGCTGCAGTTTTGATTTTTTCTATTTCGTGAATAATGTGAACTGTCAAACTTTGCTACATTCATATACACAACCACATACACATACATTGTCATCCTTTTTGCTTGTTTTTGATTGGTCGAACGTATTTACATTTCTTTCTGTTTTGAAGGCGCTGGCCCAATGCACGCTTGCTTGGCTTTGAGAACTGTCAAACAATTTTTAAAATGTATGAAAGTTGGCCTAGTGGCAGCTTTACTTCACTTGCTTGAAGCGCTTTAAAGTATCGATTAGCCGAAATCTCTATTTGACAGCGCGCTGTAGGCTTTTGACAACTCTTGACATTTCAATTTTTCGCGTCGATTTTGCTTGTGTGCAGTTTTTATCGCGTTCTTCATCAATTCTAGGTAAAATAATTTATATTAAACAATTATTTGTTGCTAACAACATTATTTTTTCAGATACCTTGCTTTTTATCGTTCCGGCCACCAGATTCGTTGGTTTTCGAGAAGTTGCATTTGGCTGTGCCACTTCCACCCGTGTTTATAAGGCGTAATATTCA